TTTGATACTTGCCTCGATCTCAAATAATCAAGAGCTTTGCTCAATGTTCATATTTTGCTCTAGTCTATACTCTGGCTCCACAAGTCCACTTGGTCTCACACTATAACCAATGAACACATTTCCATCATTATCCATCATCAATTCATATATACAATACTGTTCATCTCTACAATACTATTAATGTATACGTCACTATTCAAATTTATGGTATAATTCAAAAATATGATATTTTTAATTTTTCAAATACATTTTCACCATTAAAATTTTCGTCTAAACACTTTTCTCAACATGAACTAAGCCTCAATCAAGCTCTAATATGCTCATTCAAGCCAAACTTTCAAAATGAAAACCTAAAATCAATCTTTCTCAAAACTCAAAGAAAACTAGAATTTCTTAACATAAACTTACGTAGAATCACCCAATGAGTGGATTTCCAACCTCAAATGAGATCAAAATACCTTCTTGGACCTTCAATAAACAAAGGGGCGACATTTCCCTTTCATTTTTCTCTCAATACTAGGCTTCTTGATAAATTATGAATTAGGGGTTGTGTTTGCATCACAATTTTAAGCAACTTTACTTTTTAACTCACTTGATTTCATCAAGAAATGAAGAAGTTCCGAAGCAAGCTCTTCACTAATGGCTTCGGGTTCGCACAAAGAAGAAAGAAGAAATGAAGAAAGTGTTCTCTTTTTTCAACTTACATATATTAAGTTATTTTAATTGGGTAAAAATTTATCTATCTACTCACCTCCATTCACTACCAAATTTTACCCAATGAACTAGAATATTTTTTCAGTCATATTTCTAACTTTACTTTCACTGTTTGGGTAACTTTATTTACCTGCATTTTTTCCCCAACACTGTCATTTTTATTCTTTTTCACTGAAGGTGACTTTATTTTTTTTCTTTTATTTTCCTTATAATTATTCTTCAATATTATCATTAAAATCATTAATTCATAATTATATCCACAACTACATATGAGGGTTAATTATTATAATAGACATCCTTAATAATATCTAAAACTAAAGAGTATCTCGTAATATTTTTAAATATAAATAAAATGTTATATATATATATATATATATATATATATATATATATATATATATATATATATATATATGCACTAAAAGATAAAAAAAATTGGCAAAATTATTTTCACAGTAAGAAAATATAATTACTGCTGGACTAATATATAGCTGTAACTTTTTCATGTAATTACAAACACTTGATGCAACGTTAAAAGAGAAAAAGAACATGGGAAAAGGGTTTTTCCTTTTGAATGATACAATTAAGTTGTGTCATTTTTATCTCACAAAGAGATGGAGCTCATTTTTTTTTTTATCAACTCTCTTTCCTGTTGAGATATATAGTCAAACATTGGTTGTATGTGCAACTAATGTGGAGTTTACAAGGCCTTGGTCACTCCCACCATTTGAGCTAGCTTTTGGGGTGGTGTATCCCAAGGTTCTTTACATGGTATCAGAGCCTCGCCGCCCCCCACTTTCTCTTGTGGACTTTCTTAGCTCAGGTAGGTTGGTTCTGTTGCATCTTCCACTCTTCAAGCCTAATGGGCTCTCGTGTGAGGGGACGTGAGTCCCGCATTGGTTGTATGAGCAACTAATGTGGAGTTTATAAGGCTTTGGGCACTCCCACCCTTTGAGCTAGCTTTTGGGGTGGTGTATCCCAAGGTTCTTTACAGTATCCCAAGGTTCTTTACATGATATCAGAGCTTGAGTGACTACAATATCACAAGGTTCTTTACATGGTATCAGAGTTTTCTTGATCACAAGGTCACAAGTTCAAACCTCACCGCCCCCCACTTTAAAGTGGAATTAAAATAAAAGCACAAAAAGATAAACCAAAAATTGGGCCTGTGCAATATCCACGCTTCTAGCCCAATGGGCTCTCGTGTAAGGGGCGTGTTGAGATATATAGTCCCACATTGGTTGTATGTGCAACTAATGTGGAGTTTATAAGGCCTTGGTCACTCTCACCCTTTGAGCTAGCTTTTGGGGTGGTGTATCCCAAGGTTCTTTACATGATATCAGAGCTTAAGTGACTACAAGGTCACAAGTTCGATCCTCACCGCCCCCACTTTAAAGTGGAATTAAAATAAAAGCACAAAAAGGTAAATCAAAATTTGGGCCTATTCAATATCCACGCTTCTAGCCCAATGGGCTCTCGTGTGAGGGGGCGTGTTGAGATATATAGTCCCACATTGGTTGTATGTGCAACTAATGTGGAGTTTATAATGCCTTGGTCACTCTCACCCTTTGAGCTAGCTTTTGGGGTGGTGTATCCCAAGGTTCTTTACATTTCCCATAATTTAATTTCCCATAATTTAATTATTTCTCTCACAACTTTACATTCTTTAAAATGACATCCACTATCCCCAAAAAATATTACTCAAAAATAAGAAAGAGCGAAGAGAAAGGCCAAATCGTTAGTTTTGTAGGCATCAATCAAAGGAAATTTTTTGGAACTTACATAAAAATACAAATTAAAAGCTAGATTTAAATGGAAGAAAACTTTTCACATTTTAAAAAAATTGAATTCCACTTGGATACACCCATTGCACCGAAATTTTTTTCCTCAAACCCGGTCTACATAACCAATTTGCCCTCTTGTTGATCCAAGACAAAAAAATACCACTTTAATGTATTTTCAAATAAATTTACAGAAAATTATCTCTGTAGTTACTGCAGATAAGTTATCTGCATTTATTCTCAAAATAACGTCGTTTTGAATTGAAAGATTAAAAAATTATAATTATAAAGACTAATAACTCTAAAATAAATTAAAATTATAAAAATATCATGATTTCTGTCTGAATACGACATTTTATTGAGCTTACTGCAGATAAAGTTATCTGGTGCAGAAAAAGTGATTGCATAAACTTATCTTGTATGGAGCAAGAATGATTCCCCACCAAAAAATTTAAGAAAATGCTACGTGCCGATACCAATTAAATGTAATTAAGTTGACATTAATACTTTTATTTTGTTAAGTCAAATATTAAGATTTTATTCTCTCAGAGGTCGTTTGGTTCACCTTTTTTTAAAAGTAACTTTTACTACTTCTTTATTTTAAAAGTACTTTTTACAAAATTAAAGCTATTTATATTTTTATAAAAATATTTAGTTTTTGAAAAAAAATATTTGGCTTTTGACTTCTGCTTTTCTGAGAAGTTAAAAATTTTAGCTTATGAGAAAAGTAGGTTTTTGGCTTTTTTTGTGACTTCTCCTTTTTTTTTTAAAAGCAGACATCCAAACGAACTAAAAACGAAAAGTGCTTTTTTTCTTTAAAAAAAGCAGCTTTTGAAGAAAAAAAACTCATCCAAACAGGCCCTTATAGGATCTGGAAAATGAAAAGTCATTTGAGAGCAACTTAATTACATAGGAGAAACTTTTAATTACGACGGCCTCCCATTGGCGTTTACCTATTCATTTTTTAACGTATTAATATAAATAGTATTATTGTGGCCGTGCGGGACTTGATATTTATATACGGGGTTTAACTCGGGGTATGAAAAACTATTTTGTTAAGAAATCACTAGTAAAACTGTAAAAGTCAATGCAAGCTAACGATGGTAGAGAAATGTATTCAATGTAAAAAATCCTATGCACATCTTAAATTAATATAAAATGAATTAAAAAATATATTACTAGCATGCTCTATTTCTCTTTGTAGGATAGAAGAGTTACTAAAACATCACGTTAAGTTTTCTTATTTACTTAATATATATATATATATATATATATATATATATATATATATATATATATATATATGGGATAAATAAATCTCATGTGGTAAGAATAAAGTTCTTCTAGAGCTCGATTTCCGTGTTAATATTTTTTATCTTTTCCTTTTTTTTTAAATTAATGGGCCCACTTGGTTGTGAGTGTAGGAGAAAAGCTCCTCTCATGTTACATGAGAAAATGCAATTCCTATATATATATATATATATATATATATATATATATATATATATATATATATATATATATATATATGCGCGTTATATTTATCTTATGTTGCAGAAAAATGATTGTATCATGTTATAGAAATAAAATTACAAGTGGGACCCACATGTTAGAGGAGAGAGAAAAAATAAATGTGGGACCCACTTCTACTTTGTGTGTGTAGAAAACTTATTTATCTTATGCAACATAAGATAAATATAACCCTATATATATATATAATTAATTAAGAGTTTACATTTTTGTAGCTGTTACACGTACAACCATCAAATACTTGCCATATATATATTTAAAGGGTTCGTTTTTTTCTAAAGTTACTTTAGATAAATTTATCTAATGTTCGCGGAAACGACGTCGTTTTGGAGCGGAAATCAATGGTATATTTGTAATTTTAATTTATTTCAGGGTTATAAAAGTCTTTATCATTCTAATTTTTTAATTTTCAACTTCAAAACGACGTCGTTTTAGTGAATATTAGATAAAATTATCTAAAGTAAGATACTTTTTTCCCATATTTAAAAACATTAAATACAGGAAATCATAATCATACAAAGAATGAAAGCATTATATATGCGAAATCATAACCATACACCTATCATTTATCGTTGCTGTACGTAAAGCGGCTGCATTTTACCAATTAATTAATGAGATTTGCATTTATCATTTAACATGACACAACAAAGTTTCCTACACACACAATATTTTGTGGGGCTCACACTTTTTGAAACAAAAAAAAACTACAACACGCAAAACGAATCTCTATAACGTTACAGAATCAATTTTGAACTCTTATAAAACCCTTTAATTAATATATTCTATCCCCATAGTTATTATTGCCCAGCATTAAAAGCTGTCAACAATGTAACGGACGTTTGCTGCTCATTCATTGGACAACCCTTTAAATTTTAGCTTTGTACTTACAACAATTCCAAAAGCTGAATGCACATGATCACAAGCTTCCCCACAGGTTTCTCTTGGTCATAGTCACATACTTGAATTGAAGATCAAATGGAAAAGCAAACCATGATTGCCAGAAGTTGCCATGATCATCAGCTCTGGTTTGCCATTCTTATCTCCTTTCTCTTGTGCTCTATATTGCTATGCTTTGATTATTCTGCTTCCTTTTATGGCCCCAAGGATGGGGTCACTTTCTTACTCAACAAACAAGTAAACCCATTTGTTATTAAGAATAATGGAACCAAAGATTCCTGCAGTGGCCGCTATGTTTTCATTCAAGAGATTCCTTCTCGCTTCAATTACTACTTGCTTGAGAATTGTCAGTCTCTTACCAGAGGAACTGACAAACACAACATGTGTCCATACATGAAGAACCTGGGTTTTGGTCCTGAGATTGGTGACTCTCAAGGGGTTTTAACCAACAAGAGTAGTTGGTATGCCACCAACCAGTTCTTGTTGGAAGTGATATTTCACAACAGGGTGAAAAATTATGAGTGCTTGACCAATGATTCGTCCTTGGCCTCTGCAATTTTTGTCCCATTTTATGCTGGTCTTGATGTGAGTCGTGTCCTTTGGGTTTCTAATCTTACAGTGAGGGATTCCTCTGGTCGAGATCTTGTTCAGTGGCTTGCAAATAGACCCGAATGGAAGAAAATGTGGGGTAGAGATCATTTCCTTGTTTCAGGTAGGATTTCTTGGGATTTAAGGAGACAATATGATAGTGAGTCCTATTGGGGTAGCAAGTTTAGATTTTTGCCTGAATCCTTGAATATGTCAATGTTGGCAATTGAAGCAAGTTCATGGAATAATGACTATGCAATACCATACCCAACTTCTTTTCATCCCTCTAAGGACAGTGAAGTTTTCCAATGGCAGAGTAAAATCAGACATCAGAAGCGGCCTTACTTGTTTGCTTTCACTGGGGCTCCAAGGCCTGAAAATGAAAAGTCTTTAAGGGGAAATGTCATAGAGCAATGCCGAGCTTCGAGTGCTTGCAAATTCATTGATTGCAGCAATGTTGGAGAGAATTGTGACAACCCCATTAATGTTATGAAGGTGTTTGAAAGCTCCGTGTTCTGTTTGCAGCCTCCGGGTGACTCATACACCAGAAGATCCATTTTTGATTCCATGTTGGCTGGTTGTATTCCTGTTTTCTTTCATCCTGGCACGGCTTACTCACAGTATCAATGGTATTTACCAAAGAATAGGACAAAGTACTCTGTGTATATACCAGTGAAGGATGTAAAAGAATGGAATGTCAATGTGGAGAAGGTGTTGGTGGGAATTCCAAAGGATGAGGTATTTGCAATGAGAGAAGAGGTTATAAAGTTGATTCCAAAATTAATTTATGCAGATCCTAGGTCTCCGTTAGAGAAACTTGAAGATGCATTTGATTTAGCAGTAAAAGGGATACTTGAAAGGATAGAGAAAGTGAGGGAAGCAATTAGGAACGGGAGAGATCCCAGCATAGGTTTTGCTGATGAAGACAATTATAAGTTTACATTTTCAGGTAATTAATTACAGCTAACGGAAGAAATATTAATAGTTATAGAGCATATCATTTCATGACATTAGTCATGACATGATAATATATATACTGGATCAACATCATTAATAGTTACAACTTAACATATTCTTCTTTGCCTACATTCATCATGTACTTTGTGATATGTTTTTTTTATATAGTTCGTGGTCTTGAAAGAATGAGGAAAAAATTTGCTAGATAGTAGCGAATTATTGAGGAAAAGATGATATGTTTTTATAAATGTCACGCGACAAAGTACTTTTTATGAGACTGTCATGTGGTGTAATTTGCTAGATAGCAGTGAATTACGTTCGCAAATGATTTCTTGACATGTGACCATATTGCGTACCAAATTCGCTATTAGTGATACTGATAGCGAATCATGTTCGGTCAATTTTTTTTTTTTTTACCAAAATGTGTCACGTGTTGTGTTCAGTCCTAACAAATTACGTCGCATGACAGAGTGATATTTAGATAAAAAATTCTCTAACAATAAAAAAAACTTGCAAAAAGTGTGTTGTAATTTTGTTCTTCCTTTTGGTATAGGCTCTAGAACAACTGTTTGCCGACAATGAGTTTACCGTGTACTCAGCGGGACACTGTTTAGTATTTAAAGCCTGATCTTCATAGACATGGGCATGGGATGCATGTGAATGGTATCTAATGTAACCCTACGCTGACAGTGGCAGGCTCATGAATAATAAGCCATGACCTTTAGAAATAGTATAGTCTCTCACCTTGTCACTGTCACCCGGGCATTGAACCAGAAGACCCCAATTATCGCCTGTAATTAAGGACATGTTCTCCCATACGCATTCAACAAGTATCACTAAAGACGCTACTCTCTGGCCTTTTTTTCTATAAAGGGTCACACGGCCCACTTTCCTTTCCCAAAAGTTAGTCATGTTGCCAAAATTTATCTTTTACTTTTCTTTTCTTTTCTTTTGCCGTTCATTGAGGACTGTGTAATAATTTGATTAAATCGAATACAAAGTATCAAGATTCAAGACTCCTTTTTATACCTTTTTTTGCGGGTTAAAATCCTATTGGACAAGTGTTAAAGAAATGAGTAATTGGAGAACCATCAAAAGCAGGGTCAAACAACATTCCCTAATCACTTTGAGGAGTGTTTGGTGAGAGAGTTTTTTTTTTTTGCCTAGAAAAGTTGAAATGAGTTTCTTAATTGATGAAGTTTGATGGAGGTTTTAAAAAACTTGCTCATAGTTCGAATTTGCGTAGAAATCTCAATTTGTGTGTAAAATTGAAAAAATTTATTATTTCAGAATACCATCTACAGGGTGGTATTCTCGTTACCCATCAAACCAAAAAAGTAGAAAAAAAAAAAACAATAGACACAAATATCCATTCTCAAAAAAGAGCTGAAGAGGGAGTCTTCTTTGTATTTAGTCAAATGTTAGTTTGGTAATTTCATCCCATTTTTGTTAGTTTGGTAATTTCATCCCATTTTTCTAATAATATTTTACCTTCATCCAAACATAGACTTACAAAATTTAACCTAATTTTTTCAAGAGGCAAGATCCTTTGACACCGGTGTTAAATTTAAAATTTGACACCTCATGTAAGAGTCGTAAGATCAAAAAATATCAATGGTGTCACATGCTTACAAATCAGAGTCGTTGATATTTTTTAATCTAACGGCTCTTAGATGAGGTGTCAAACTTTAACTTTGACACCGGTATCAAAGGATCCTGCCTCTTTTTTCAGTAATATTTCGGTTTATCAAACAATTTTTTTTAACTTTTCTACCAAATTCAGTTTCCCACCGTATTCTTAGTAATTGTATTTTTCTGGTAAAAAAATAAATCTTCTACCATGCAGTCATAATTCTGTTATTATTATTTTTTAGAGAAAACTTCAAAAAAAAAAAAAAAAAAAAAACGAACCTAGGAGACCCATAATCCAGAAGAGAATTAAACAATAATAATAAGGGGAAATGATTTTTGCATTTACTGTAGAAATAATTTCTCTGCCTCATACATCAAATTTGAGAGAGAAACCATATTTTAATGAGAGAAATAAAAATTTGTGTTTGAGGCAGAAAGATGATTTCTGCGATAAATATAGAAACATTTTTTTTGGGTACAATATAGAAATCATTTCCCCTAATAATAATGTGAGGATAGAAGAAACGTGACACGGTTTAAGTCACTCTAAGTTCGATTTTGTATATTTGTTTTTGGGCCAAAACTCGAATTTTAGTAAACAAATGTATGGTAGATACGGAGTAGGTTTAATGTCGGGTAGCCCAACCCAAAATGAAAATATGGGCTTTCCAAAATTTACAAAGCCCAAAACACAAAGACAAAACGTAAGAAAAAAAGAAGAAGAAAATCGCAGTTGCAGAAGCTGAAGAAATGGCGGCAGCGAACTCCGAGTGTGACTTTGAGGTGATACTAATGACTATGAATGAAACTCTGAATAATAACCACTTTCTTTTTTCAGTTTCACTACACTCTCCTCAATTAACAGTTTTATATTTTTTGTTGCCGCGGCATTAAAGCAGGGCAATGCTCAGAAACCGAGTTCCGAAAAATTGGTGTTATTCTCGTCCACCGGTTCCGGCTTCGGAATCTTTGACGATGCTGCACAAGTTCCTGCTATTCCGCCTCCTCCCTGCATTGAAGTACTCAGCTCTGAGGTATTCCTCGTTCCTTGTTCATGATTGTTCAAAACGCTGCCGTTTTTAGAATTGCTTGTTTTCATGGGGTTTCATGCAAAATCAGGTTCCTTCTTCCGTTAAACATAATGTGGAGTCAGTAAATTTGGATGGGGTTACTTTGTTAAAGGTAAATTTTTTATTTTTATTTTTTCTGTTTCCAAATTCTAAGAATATTAGAAAGGGAATAATAGCTTAGTTTTTGTTAATTTTCTTGTATGGACAATTCTCAGGGGCGGGTAAATACCCAACAAGTTTTTGGTTTATCCAACTCTGATTTAGTTCCCGGGAAATACGAAGGTGGTGGCATTTTGTTGCTTGCATTTCTGTTTATTCATTCATTACTATCTTGTTGGTATCTAAAGCAGTTGCAAATTTGGTTCCCTTTGGCCTAGGAGGACTGAAGCTTTGGGAAGGTTCACTTGATTTAATTAAAGCCCTTCGTTCAGATATCAATAGTGGGCTTATCTCATTTGGCGGAAAGCGAGTATTAGAGGTGGGCTTCTCTTTTTCCAGGTGATTGTGTATTTATCAGCTTGTTTAAATTTTGGGGGAAAGAATTCTTCACTGAATTTTATTGCCTGGAAACTGCATAGATCTTTAATAGGAACTAGGAAGGCCTATGACTTGAATACATTATTTTGGGTCTTTGAACAAAGTTGAGTGTAAAATCTAAGTGCAAATATGGAAGTACAGAAACAATTATGCACAGATGCAGTTTGTAATTGTATATAATGGAATAAAGAAAAAAAACTTAAGTTCTTTGTATATCAGAGATAAAATTTCACTCAGAGCTTGCTCTTGAAAGGGTGCATTTGTTGATGTGACTGTTGGAGGGGGAATCTTGGGTATCTTTGTTCACGTAGAAAGATACACAGTGCACGGAACAGGCCCCTGCATGTTGTTTAACACATCTGAAAGCCTTTGTCGTAAATATTTTCTTCTTCCACTTGCTTGATGTGAGGATGGACATAACATCACCATATATGTGAGTCTTTTTAGATTCTCTGCTCCATGGCTCTCTGTATTTCTCATTTCTTAGCTTGTAAGGTGATAGAAAAGTCATATCTAAAGGATCCTAGTTCTTGCATTTACTGAGGAGATAATGATTTTCTTTACTTTTCCATCTGATAGTCTGTTGAAAATTGGTAATCTGTTCAAGGAAAAATTACTCCCATCTTGGAGTATTTCACTGATATCATTAATTTTACAAGTTAAAATTTATATGCAAGAATATCATGGGTAGTTATTGTCATAATGTATTTTGAAGAGAGGTTGTTTTTGAGATTGCCTTCCTCACATCTCATGTTCTAGCTAGTCATACTGTCTGCTTACATCACATTGTGGACATTTATATTTTAATTGACTTATTTCTAGGATTGTTCCCATTTTACGTTGTTGTCATTTTTCTTTTCTTTTAATAAAGCTACATTCTTTAAGGAAGATTTGATTCCGTCGAGGTAGAATGCTTTTCACATGGAAACAAATGATGTAGAAAATATTAATTTTGAAATATAGGTAATGAGTTATCTTTTTTCAAGATTGATTTACAATTTGAAAAATTTTAATAGGGCTTGATATATTTACTTAATTTCTTCAGTCGTTAAGACCCACACTAGCAGTTAGTGGGGGTATTGTAACCCAGTTTGTTATTATGGATTGAAACACTCAACAAAAAATGGGTGAATTGCGCAGATAAAGTATGAGTTTTAGTTATTATTGTGGCCCCTTTGTAGGAGGTTTGCCTTTAGGTACAAAAAGTTGAGAACTTTTGGGGTTTTATAAGGATTTAGTTTTATCATATGGAATTTTTGTTCAATATGACTAAGAAATGTTTTGTACTTTATATGGACTAGACTTCTCTAAACAAAGCGCATCTCTAATGTCAACAAGTAAGGGTGTATCTGCCATTACTTTAATTTAAAGTACGTCGTGCCCTTTACCGACTAAAATTTAAGGGTGGATACACCCTTACTTGCTCACTTAAAAGATAAACTCAGTTTGGAGGAGCTTTTTCTATCTTATATTGAAGTTAATTAAAAAGATATACCTAAAGCATGTCTGTTGGTAGATAAGCTGCCTGCCTATCACTCAGTTTCAATATTTGATTTTCAGGTCGGATGTGGTCATGGACTGCCTGGAATCTTTGCATTGCTTGAGGTGAATCTATGTTTCATCGGCTCTGCTTTAGTGTCATTATCTTGAAGAATATAATAATGTGTTTGTTTTGGTTTCTTTAGGGGGCAGCTGCTGTACATTTTCAAGACTTCAATGCTGAGGTTCTACGATGCCTAACCATTCCCAATTTAAATGCAAATCTTTCTGGAAAATCTCATACATCATCATCAAACTTGACAATTCTTGACAAGGCTGAAGTTCGCTTTTTTGCTGGTGACTGGAGTGAAATTGATAAACTGCTCCCTTATGTTAGTACAGGTGAAAAACATGATAAAGATGCTGGTTATGACTTTATTCTGATGGCAGAGACAGTTTACTCAATCAACAGTCTTCAAAATCTTTATAATCTTATCAAGAAGGTATTGTTTATTCATTTACAAGAGCAAAAGTATATTTCTATATTGAGTCATTGCAATGTAAATATGGATGCATTTTTCTGTGTGTATTAATGTGTATTTTTAATTGTAAAAGTATTGGTTTGCTTATCTATTCAACTGTTTAATACAGTGCTTGCAACATCCTGATGGAGTTGTATACATGGCTGCAAAGAAGTATTATTTTGGAGTAGGTGGTGGATCTCGGCGATTTCTGTCTGTGGTAGAAAAAGATGGTGAGCTAGTACTGGCATATGCAATTATATTCTTGTTGGAGCATTACTCTGATTTTTTGTATGTTATGTGCTCTGCAGTTGCAAAGTAAAATGTAGCGTACTTGTTATGCAAACAACTTGTATTAATAACCATATTGATACTTAATATATTGCTTTTCCACTATAAGCTATGCACATACTCAGTGATTTATTTCTGACTTATTATTTGAAACCTAAATCATGGAACCATGTGTTTCATGCTGGGAAGGAGTCATCAAAAGTTTGCTCTCATTATGTAATGTGAACTATCAAGGATATAATGTCATCCACATGAGATAGAATACTGGTTTATTTTGTCTTTCCTTTTTCCAATTAATGTAATGGTGTCACGTCATAATTGCTCTTTTATTTGTGCAGGTGTCATGACTAGTAGCCTTGTTGCTGAAATCACAGACGGTTCATCTAATGTGCGTGAAGTATGGAAGCTTGCATTCAAGTAGTACTATTATTTTCTTTCTTCACCGTTCAGACTATCCCCGGTTTGGTTGATCAAAATCGGTCATGTACAAGGGGACTGTTGGAAGGGTGATGATGGGTTGAGGAACATGTTGGTTTATATCCAATTGAGGGATCATTCTTGTTTTGGTAATGATTGTAGGAACTGTATGATCTAGGGTGAATCTCATCCCTCATTTCATGATATACTTGTATCAGTTGTATGCTTATATTGGGCTTGGTTTTTCTCTGTCAACTGTATTGTTGTTGGTAATGTAAATAGCATTTTTTTGTGGTGTGTGTGTGTGAACCCTAAACCCTAAAAATCTAGTTTGGTGAAAAAATCTTTGGAGGACAAATATGTTGACACACTAATCTTTTTAGGGACTAATTTGAGGACCAAATAGAGTAGAGGGTTTACATGAAAACATGTGGTTGATGGGCATTTGATATTCTATTAATTCTTAATTTTGTCCCTCCTATGGTAAAATGTAAGTCCACAAATTTTTACAAAGCGAAACAGAAATGATGGAAGCGCAGAGAAAGTTGGAAGACATTCCTATTTCAAACCATTGGCATTAATAAGACAGTACACAGACTCCACACACAGTTGGAAAAGTATAATAATAGGTAAATAGGCAGGAGATTTTCATGAGATAAAGGAAAAGGATATAAATGAAGCAAAGTGTTTTAATTATAAGAATAACGATACTTTCACATAATTTCTTTTTTTTTTTTAAAAAAAAAATCTCACAAATTGTAAGACAAATTCATCTTAATCATTTGAAAGAAAAGAAGGTAAAACTAAAATATCATCTAATGAATGATATTGGAGTTTATTTTATCATGATTTTATGATAAATTTATTTGAGTTTACCAAATTATATATTCAAGGAATTGAAGTCTCGGACTATACATTCTCCATATCTGCACCCAGCCTTTATCAATCAACGGACTATACAATTCATTGTTCGAGTCCTTTAGATTTCATTTGAGCAATAATGGAATGAGGACAAAATTTTAAGTCCTGTTCATACCAATATCAAATCAACTTGTTGCACTCATGGAACTTGACGAAGTCAAGGTTTGAGGATGACGTTTCATAGTATAGAAAAATTCTAGCATGCTCAGAAGAGCAATTAATTAATGCATATAGTGGAGCAGCAATTAATGAGTATATAATTCACCTAGCCACTGCAGAGAGAGAAGAAAATCGACATGTTATATAATTTAAGTATAAACTATCTTAAAATTACAATCAGATAAGAACTATTGTCAAATATAAAAGACATAATAGAGGTTTCAATTCAAATTATTTATTACATGAGTTGTAGAAATCGGGATATGCAGAAGCCGTAGTCGCATAATCCTAATTGACTAGCAGCCAAGCGATTGAGACCACAATTTTTATTTTATTTTTGATAACAGAGACCACAATTTTATGTTCGTAATTACTCTACCTCCACCATGTTTCCTATCCGAAATCAATAAATAGTTTTTATATAAAAATAATAACAAATAGTATTCAAAATTAAATAATAAGATTCCCCAACAAATATATGGCTCAAGTTTGCACATGGCACACTTATTATATAATTTGGTTATAAGACTACAAGTCTACAACAATTTCTATTAGATCCCAACGCATGATATTGGACTCCATGTTCAACAAACTTATTATATAATTTGTTATTTGTGTCCTGCACTATTATCTAGTCCTTAGATTCAGTTTGTTGAATCCCAAGCACGGCCGTAATATAGAATGTAAAATCAGATATTCAATTGTCACAACCAGAGAAGGAAAACCCAGTTTGTTGCTAATTGCTTTGTCGTTTCTACACCTCAATGTCCTTTCTATTTTTTTATTTTTTTCTCTCAAAATTTGTTTTTATCAGGTTTAGAAACGGAGCATGGACCAATTTTTCACAAACACGTACTAATAACAATTAATAGGAACTTATAAAGAATCAATTTAACCCAAAAGCTTAAATTGTTGGATGAAAAGCTACATTAATGATTTTATATATCTCAACACGTCCCCTCACACGAAAGTCCACTGAGTTTGAAGGGTAGACAATGCACAGGCCCACCTACCTGTGTGCAGAAAAAAATTCCACTAGAAAAAAAAATAGAGGGCGGCAAGTAGGGGGTAAATGGGCCAGGCTGGCCCAGCCCAGCCTACGGCCCGGCCTACATTGAGCCCGACCCAGGCCTATCCTTTCAGAAAAGTAGAATAGGCTTAGGTTTATAAAAAAGCTTTTTTTAACAAATAGACCATAGGCCAATTTTGTCAAGCCCGGCCTACAGCCTTGTAGGCTGGCCTATTTAATTTATTAAAATAAAATAATAAAATAATATTTATTTTATGTGGCAAAGATGCAAAGTACTAAATACCAATATCTCTTACTTTTTGTGCTATTTTATTTTATGAAATGAAAACTTGTCTAATATCTCCAAATTTTACATGATGTTGCAGCTTAATACCAAGGAGTAATGGGTACCTTGCTGGATTATGATGTTACTGATGAAGATCTTTCAATAATACTCTTATTTCCCTTGTCTTGATGGTGGTTTAAAGATTTTTAGATAAATGAAATTCTCTTGTAGACTTTATTTCAGCTTCCGGTAATTGTATTTTTCTTATTTTCTCCATTTCTTTGACTATATTCCTCTATGATATACATTCTAGAGCTGGGGTATTATGTTGACTCTTTCTTGTTTGTCATTTTTTTCTTATGAGAAGTACTAGTGCATGCATGAATAGAACTTTCTTTGTTCTATAAAATTATTTTTTTTGCTTAGTATCTACAGTGGGACGCCTACAAGGCATGTAGGCCATCTCAGGCTTTCTTATTTTTTAAAATGGGTCGGGCTTGGCCTACAAATAAAGCCTTTAATAGGCCAGTAGGCCAGATAGGCTGAATTTTTTTTGACGTAGGCTTGGGCCAAAAAGGCCAAAGCCTAGCCCATTTACACCCCTAGCGGCAAAAATCGAACCCTGTACACTGAGGCTCTGATACCATGCAAAGAACCAATTCAACCCAAAAGCTTAAGCTGTTGAATGAAGCTACATTAATGATTTTATATATTTCAAGAGAAGTTTTGGAGGTGAACTAGACTTTATTTAGGCAGAGCAGAAAACTGTGTTCAAGATGTTGAAGTTGGACAAAAGCATCGTAGTAGCTCATTACAACTATATGAAAGATAACTTTATTATAACGAAACTATGATACGCATGCTTAAATCCATATATCTGAAGTGCAGTCACCACCAGGATATCTCATCTCATGAGCAAGGGAAGGACCATCAGGCTCAGCTCCAAAGTCCACAAAGAAGTTTGGGTTAATTTTCAGGCCACCATTCTCAGTATCAACATCAATCTGTAATATGTGTGATCCTTTCTCCATAATCTCTGGATAAAATTGTTTATCCCATGCACTAAACAGTGAGTTGGTAACAAACAACCGCTTCCCATCTAAACTCAATTGAATCATCTGAGGGCCCCCTCTCAATTTTTTTCCCTGATAACCAAAATTATAACATCAGCCACTAACCAGATATACACCCTTCAGTCAATCCATGCATCACATATATAACCTTGGCACTAGAGTTGAATAAATAACATAATGCAAACATGCTACGTTCATGTGAAATTCCATACGGTAAGCAAAATGGAACAAGTGAAAAGCAATTTATGCTTCTAGACAAATTGAACATGAAGCAACTACTACATAAACCACTCACTCTTAAATCCCGACTAATGAGAGTGGCGTAAGTACAATTCTTGTACACAGCCCTACCTTTACATATATACAAAGAGACTGTTTTCCAGATTCGAACCCGTGACCTTTCAATCACCATGGAGTAGCCACTACCCCAGGCTCACCCTCTTAAGCAACTACTACATATTGAGTAAAATTTACTTTCATAAACGAAATGGCTAATAGTCACATTTCACTCCTCTCCATTTTCACTCCACTCATTGGTCCAATAACTAATTTACTCCAAACATGTATTATGCAATAAGTTCAACAGTAGGATTACTAAGTTTAAAAATTAAATAGCAATAACCTGAATCTCTGGCACATCAGATTGCCAAGTTTTACCATCGTCTGCTATAGCTACTATTGGGCTTCCTTTCTGGATAAGTCCACCAACCCATACTTGGCCAGTCAGTATAGGATTTTTAAGGTCCTCAATGTTATATTGCCTTATATCCCCGTGAAGCCAGTTTACAAAGTACAGAAACCGATCATCAAGAGAAATCAGAAAATCAGTTATAAGCCCAGGCATTTCTGGAAGAATCCAGTTTTGCACTTTCAGAGGTTTCACTGATATGGCAACCTGCAAAGTAAGCTTAGTCTATAAGTATTATTGATAAATATACCTCGGTTTAAGTACAAATACTAAACAAAACAGCATAGATATTAAATATCCTTTTGATATACCTCATGGCTCCATGATCCATCTTGGGTCTTAAAAAATCGTATCATGTTACTTGTCAATGCACTCCCAACAAAACCTGTATCTTTAGCAGGATCATGCAGAAACCTTATCTGCATTTAGGGTACTTTAGTTATAAAATGCTAACTTCTGCAAAATGGTTTACAAGTACAAGCAATGGGAAAGGGGGAATAAAGTACCACCATAGTTAAATAAACAAGTATATAAACAGGTTCAAATACAGAAAAAAAAAATTGAATCTTAAACATCTCCCCAGATTATGTCAAACAACTTGCCTCCAATGGTAAAAGCCCTGTGTTACCAAGGTCCAATGTTTGTCTCAGTTCGCCCCCGGGCCAGCTGTATACATGAAGATGCCTCCCATAGAATCCATCAGAGACATGCTGCAAGTTAAAACCTTTGGTAAAAGCACTAGGAGCACCCCATGATGTGCTAATCATAGTATTGTGCCGTGGTTGGTACCAAAAGTCATACCCAAATAATGGACTGTGCCCTGGTTTCTCCCACCTAGCCAATGTAAAGCAAGATACAAAATAATATAATTAGAAAATATAATATTGAAATGCAAACTACATAACAAGTTCCAAATAGAACTGTTGCCTCATATAATGTTCAATGCGCAAGCAATTGTTTAATGATTCTATGTAAACTGTTTTGCAAAACTATTGTCATCTCAGCATTGAATTTTATCTCAATATATGATTTCCTCCATTTCACTTTTTAGCAATCACCTAAATTCAAAATGAGCAATTAAAACTAGAAGATCTAACAGAATCAGAAAGCAAGAATATGCAGAGATTATAAGGATCAGTACGCAGAGTATTTTAGACATGCCAATAAGCATTCTTGCATTTCTCAATACCTTCCTTTCACATTAAACTCCGAATCAAGAAGAAGAAATCCATTTCCCGCCGCATTTCCATCTTTATCTCCAAGACATGAGATCATTATGTCACCAGAAGCAAGGCAATGAGACGTGTGTGGATAAGCTAATCCAGTCTTCTGTATGACATCTGCAGGCTCAACAACTTTGTGCAAAGATGGAGACCTTGGATTTGTTTTTGTGTCAATCACATATATGCGACCTGATCTGAAATATGATGAAGTAGACTTTATAAGGTAGTTAAAAGATGACCAAATAATAAGTAATCAGAATAAAATTGATATGATATCTTTCTTTAGAGTTATTGTAATCCACAAAGTAGTTTAAGCTTTGTTTCCCTTGTAATTATCAACTCATTTAAAATTATATTGTTCACTGAATGTAACTGATAGGCTCTTACACGAGTCCAGGTACGATCAGAAATTGTCTCTCTGCTGATGGATCTCCATGGCAAGAGCTGCATGAATTCCACCCAGTATGGTGCAATTCGTCACCTACATAAGGAACACGTAGCCTATGTATGACTTTGGAATAAGTTGGAGAGCTTGGATCTACGTCCACTGTGGCCAAATAGTCAGGCTTCTCTATTCCTGTGCCTGTATTGAATTAATAATTCCAGTCACCAAATAGCACAATTTTTAAGAGACATGAAACTAAAACGCCTATTTGATTAAGGGAAAAAAATGTTATAAGAATTGACCAAAACTCAATTTTAGTCAATATTATAACCAACAAACAGATATGAAATTCTGAGAGAATAATTTAATCAATTTGGTAAAACTTATGTTGAGTCCTTCAACTTCAAGCCTCCACTCTAATAGTACCAGATATAAATGGATATTTGACAAGGAAATTTCACTTTCCACATATTCAGAGCAAAATAAAAAAAGCACAAATCTTTGTGAACAAAAATAAAAACCCATAATCAGCTTGTTCTATATATATATATATATATATATATATAAGCATGAGATGAAGGTGAATGACATTTTAAGACAAAGATGGTACCTGTGTAGATAGCAGTGACATAAATCAGAGACTCTCTGGGACCAGACATGGCTTCCAGTGGGGAAGCATAGCCTGGCCCTGATTTGCAACATGCATGATTGTTGCTGTGGTTAGTCACCTTGTCTCCCACCACACCATGCTCCATCACCGTACCCATCTCTCTCTCTCTCTCTCTCTCTCTCTGAGAGATTGGTCAACCTTAATAAGAAGAAGATTATGATGACAAGGGATGAAGAGTGAACAGGTCACAATTCACATGAAAGAAGTCATGAACACATACTTTTTATGTGTAGATTAAAGAATGAGTGTTTCGTATGGATTGAGACAGAAATACTGTATTTGTACGTATTCGGATCAAATGATGTCCAGGGAGGATGTACCAGAATACCAGTAACACCATAATAATGCCCTCTCTTTGGGCTGTTAATATGTTGACGCGTGTCTATTTACATTTTCTATATTTTTGTACTTTCTTGTTTTTTTTTTTTTTTTTTTTATAGGATATTGTGACAACCAAATAATGTTACTACAACATCTTAACCGTTGATTTCTGCCAATCAACAGTTATCACTTATTGCGAATTAATAATTAATTAATGAGTTTGATTTAAAAAATAATAACCGTTGATTGACGAAAATCAACGGTTAAAATGTGATAATAACATTATTTAGTTGTCACAATATTCTATCTTTTTTCTTTCTTTCTTTCTCAGTGATAATATTTTTTAAAAATAAAAGTAATCTCTTAATAATTATAATTTTTAAAAAAATAGACTTGTCCAAACACACTTATATTTTTATTTTTATTTTCTATTTTTCCTACAAGAAAAAAAGTCATCTCAAAAGACAAAATATTATATGGAAAATGTTATGATTAGAAACTAAATCATTTATAAATTCTTATAACTAAATTTTAATCGTTAATTTTTGTTAATTTAATGATTATAATTTATTACAAATAAATAAATAATTAATAAATATGACTCAATAATGTATAATTGCTAGATCAACAAATAAGATTTGATTATAAGAGTTTATAAATAATTTAGTTTATAAATATAACTTTTCTACTATATCATTTTTAAGTAAAACCATAGCGTTTCATTCAATAGTTTTTGGGGTTTATATTTGTCATTTAACATGATACAATAAATTTTTTTACACACAACATTTTGTGGGGTCCACACTTTTTAAAGAAAAAAATAAAAATAAAATTACGGCACGCAAAACAAATCTCTATAACATTACACAATCATTTTTTCTACCACGTAACTCTTGTAAAACCCATAGTTTTTCTTCCTATTTCTTCCTTTTTCCATGCAAGTTAACAAAGAAAACACTTTGTTGCTTCCTCCATATCCTCTTCCGTGGCACCGCCATCGGGTCCCCGACAGCAGCACGGCCACTCCCAATTTGGTCCAATAATATTGGGCATGGTTTTCCTTTATTATTTTTTGAGAAAAAACAATATTTACATGAGAGAAAAAACCAAAAAATTAGAACTCATCTTGTTGTGTAAGTTGGGAGTTTATGCATATGATATTTAAGCATTCATCCGATTTTCACTTATATCCTACATATCATATAAAATGCCCATATATATATAACTAGATAATTAATACTAACTATAATCTGTGTGTAACGCATATATTGTACTTAAACAGAATTCTATAAATAAAGTGCAATAAAAAATTTAAACAGACTCACAATATGTTGGAATAACAAATCCAGAAAATTGAAGGAATCTGAGCCCAACAAAAATTGTTTCCTTAAGACAATTTATTTTCTTTATTGATTCCGAAAGTTTACGAACAATTCTCTTTCAAGATAGAACGAATTTTTCGTTTCAAGAATAATGGCACAATCAATTTCCCATGAACACAACTGAATGCTCGAGAAATCACACTAGAGTAATGGAATGTAAATACAAAAAAAAACTAAACTAAAATGCTATATATTTATAAAAACAACACATCCGGTCGACCAACATGAAAAGACATATCTATTCGACACAAAAAGACATATTCTTTTGACGGAAAAAGATACATTTGTTCAACATAAAAAGATATATCCGATTGATAACGAACAGACACACCTTTTCAGATCAAACTTCTTATTATAGCTCATCAGATTTAGAAAAAAAAAACCAACATTCTTCACTTATATTATTTAAATACTTCAATAATTTTAGCTTCACTTCCTTTCTATTGTATGTTACTCTCATCATCAAGTATTCAAATACATATGTGTATTATTTTATTCACTAGAGATTGAATTAAAGACAATGAAGTTTAATCCTTATCTCATTCTTAGTGCTGAAAAGCTGTAAAAGCGACTTGTATAATGAAGTTCTTTTTGAGTTGTATGGTTATCTTGGAAAAGGATTCAATAGTGACAGCCCGAAACATGCTTTGTGTTAAAGATAATAAATAAAGGATTATATTTATCTCATTTTATATGAGAGAAATAATTTTTCTACACCATATAAAAGATGAATGAATTTCACCACTCTTTTTTTTTCTCTTTTCTTATCTGTGAGTCTCACTTATAATTTTATTTTTATAACATGAGGTAACTATTTTTCTATAATATACAAAAAAATATATTTCCCATAAATAAAAGGTGACAATTTTTTTTCTCTCCAATTGATCAGAAAAGTGCATGTGGGGTAGAGGTGTCGTGTTTAAATATATTAAAAGGCACGAAGAGTTTTAAAATTGCACATACATATGATTGTAAAATAATACCTTGTTGAATTTGACATCGGAAACCACTAATTTCTTAAAGTGTTCACGTTTGAGATAGATTAATGGGCATTAGTCACATGATGATCATTATACTGTGCAGGGATAATGATGCGAAGAAATTCTAAATGACTAAATTAATTATTGACATGGTGGATATATTTGGTTATGTTTCCCATTTTTTTCAATAAACAGTTTTTTAATCATATTAAATACAAAAGCTGTTTATGAATTATAATTATCGTGTACAGCTACCCCTTGTTCGACGTGTTATTTAAAAAATTGTAGAGCTAACTTTTCTAAATGGAATGGAATCTTACAATAAATTGTCTGTTGATTTATCAGATAACTTTTTCACAGTAGTCTAATAAACATATAGATCTGAAACATTACTCTATAGTCTATACCAAAGCAAGAGGGAGAGCTTTACCTATATCCATACATATTTTTAAACTATTTCACTGAAAATACACATACATTGATCAGATTATTCCTTGTGATAAGAATTTAACGGGTTCAAATTTAATAAACAATCTCATTATATATAAAAAAAAAAAAAAAACAATGGGTATTATTTTTCTCAAAGTGCAATGAGATTTTATTTTGTGCTTCTTTCTCTTTTTTATTTAGTAAAACCCACATTGTATTTTGTGTGTACATGAGAGGATTTCTTTCTCACGTAACATCAGAAACATAATACCCTAAAATTATATATAATTAATCTTCACCCGTACTATTACAAATCGGGTAATCTTGTGCGTCAAGATTTGTTATTTATAACTTTATATATTTTCTTTCTTTACCTTTTATTTCCTTTTTCATGTTTTTTCAAGTTTCATTTTTTTTCAACTTTTTGAATTTTTTTGTATACTTTTAAAATTTTAAAGAAATTCAAATTAAATTTTATTATATTTCGATAGATTAAAAAATATATATATTATTAACATATTAATCTTATATAATTTTTTTTGGTAAGCATCTTATATAAAAATTTAAAATATACATTAGTAAACTGTCTTTTAAGTAATTTTTTACTTTTTTTATGAGTTTTATTGTTTTTAAAATTTTCTTTTATAAGTTGTAATTAAAAATATTTTAATAATATGTACTTAATTTAATCAATTTTTGTATGTTTTGTCAATAAATTTTTTAAAATTTATGTAAACGAATAATATTATAATTAAGGTGCGTTAAAAATTTTATAAATATATAAAACAACATGCTAAGTAGGGTTATTTATTAGTAATGAGATATAATTTTATCTAACTTTAAAGTTTCTCCTTTTTAATAGAGGTTGAGTTATTTTGTGGAATGAAATATTAAAGTTTTTAATTAAACAACTAAAAAGTACTGAAATTTGAGTTATTTCTTAGCATAGTAGATGGTTGGGTTTGCTTGGCCATCAACATTTGAAAAAGATTATTCATTTGCTTAGAAATATATACAAACGGAATACATAATAAAATTATTTTAGCTTTATTTATATCAAAAATAATATTCCATTTAGAATAAATACATAAAATTACAAAATTATTTATAAAAACTTATGAGTAAAAATAATAAATTAATTATTAAATATGAACATTGTTAGAAAATAATATATTTAAAAATATTGAAGAAGAAATTATGAAAATGTAACTAAGATGGAATCAAAAATATTTTGTAAATAAAAATAAAGAGTAAAAAGTATTTAAGTTTTCTATGTTACAAAGAAAATTCACTAAACATATTGTTATGGATATATATCATATCCTAAAGGAAGTTGAATCATAACAATATCAAGTAACAAAGCTACTCAAGATAAAGCCATTACCTCAACAGAAAGGAAGTTGAGTCCTACTATAATTGGAAGATCTACACAAACTCTAGAGGTAACTTTTATAAATAAGAGGCTAAAGACCTCATGTACACACTTTTTGACCTATCTACTATTATTGCCAACACTGTGCATATACTCACGTCTTGGCTATAAGCCTATTGCTTGTACGCAGTGATTGAGATACTGGCTATTAGGTCTTCACACTATCTTGCTCTCTTCACGGGCAGGTCTTCACACTTTTTTTTTTGTCATTTTCTCAACAGGGATAAGCAAGCCTCGTTTGGGAGCTGCTTCAAGATCTGTTGTAAGATGTGGTGTAAGAACCCGTACTGTTAATTAAGAAAGTTAATTAATTAATTATGTGAAATTATGAAATGATTTTTTAATTGACCCTAATAATTATTATGAGGCTTTAATAATTATAGTAAGTGAGTAATATTGTTGGAAGTCGTTTTTCTGATGAAAAGTGCAGATACCGGTTCTGCTAGTCGGTATAAATGAGTACCGATAAAGTATCCCAGAAAATTGTAATAAGTGCATGAATATTCCTAGAATAATACGTAGGACTGTGATTTCAAGTTTCAAGTTAAAATAATAAGAAATGGTGTCGGAAATGATACTGGCTATGGAAAAGCACGTACCGGAAAGATGCTGCGAAAAATATAAGAAAAATATGATAAATCTTGTAAAATTGAGTAGGTTCAGAATCCTAGGTTTGTGATTAA